GGAGAGATCAATCATGGGAGAAAGAAGGGCTGTCTATCCACAGGGAGACAGCTCAGGGGGCAGGAGTGCATGGAGAGATGGACACAGGGAAGAGGTAACTATCAGGAGGAAGTGGGAGGGGAGCTGTTGCATTGGGGTAAATTGTAGTCAATGTCATGAGACAACGTGTGCATGAGCTGCTGTATGGAAAGTGAATCTGCTCTGTAAACTTTCACTCAAATCACAATTTTTTAAAAAAAGAAGAGGAGCTCTGGTGGCACAGTGGTAAAGTGCTAGGCTATTGGCCTAAAGCAATCTGGAGGGCTGTTTAGAGAATGTGTTTTATCCCCAAGGTTAGGAGGCTGCTTTTGACATACCCATGGGAGTATCCATAATCGTAGGCTGAGGCTGCCTTCCGACTGACTTCAGACCCAAGGGAGTACTCTGTGGCTCCCAGACTATAGGCCTGAGAACCCTGCTGCTGGTAGGAGGAAGCCTGGCTGAAAGCCTGTGATTCCTGGCGATGGGCGGCTGAGGAGCGGCTGCTGTAGGCTGTGGAGCCATGAGTATAGATGGCTGAGCGCTTCTTCTCCTGCTGGTACTGGCTCGTGGTGGTACGGAGGTCCTTGTTGCGGTAGCTTTGATCATAGTGCTCATGGAACTTCTGATAAAAAGGCAAAGACATCATGTGCTCCTTGAGTGAACAGGCAGGCAACCTACAACAAAACAAAAATATTTGAGCAAACTCTTAAGGAAGAAGTCCCATAGAACGGGTCATCTAAACCTGGTATGTACTGCATCAGGTAAATTTGCTGCAAAACAAAACCCAAGACTAAACCCACTGCCTTGAGTTGATTCTGGCTCATAGTGACCCTGGAGGACAGAGTATAACTGCCCCATAGAGTTTCCAAGGCTATCAATCTTTATGGAAGCAGATTGCCTCTTCTTTCTCCTGTCAAGCAGCTGGAGGGTTCGAACCACTGACTTTTTGGTTAGCAGCTAACTACTGTGTCACCAAATCAAAGATGCCACTTTGATAACTAAGGTGCACTTGACCCAAGCTGCAGTCTTCTCAATTGTCTCATCTGTATGAGAAGCTGGACAATCAAAAACGAAGACAGAAAAACTGATGCATTTGGATTGTGGTTTGACAAAGAATACTGAACATACCATGGACTGCCAGAGAACAAACAAATCAGTCTTAGAAGTACAACCAGAATGCTTCTTAGAAGCAAGGATGGCAAGACATCACCTTGCAGAAGGCAAGAAATTGGGCATGTCATCAAGAAAGGCCAATCACTAGAAAAAGGGCATCATGTCTGGTAAAGTAGAAGGTCAGAGAAAATTAGAGAAATCTTCAATGAGATAGACTGACACAATAGCTGCAACAATGGACTCAAATTCATCAGGGACCATGAAGATGGCACAGGATTGAGCAACGTTTCGTCCTGTTATACACGAGGTTGCTATGAACCAGAGACAACTCGATGGCAAGGAACAACAATAATAAATTTTCCAGAAAGTAAATGGAAAATGACGTGACATTCAGCTTAACTATTACTCAATAAATTCCCCCCTCCATAGCCTGAATGTGCCCTTTCCTGCACCTGAGCTTTCTGTTTTCTTTATATCTAGGAGGTCTTTACAAAATTTCCCTCTGTTGATTGTATTTGTTCCTCAGATCTTTCATAATACAGATTTCTAATTTTCTAGCATTTCATTCTGACAAGGGTGTCATCTAGGAGAATATGTAATAGTGGAGAGTGTGGTTGTCATTCAAAAATTATTGTGCACCTACTATGAACCTGGCTCTATTCCAGCACAGGAAATCCAGCAATGAGCAAAACAAACAAGAAGCCCCACTCTAATAACCTTACGCTCCATTGCAAGAGACAGTAGATAAGGTAAACAAGCAAGGAATACAGTATAGTAGGATGTGCTAGATGTTAAAGAGAAATATAAAGCAGGGAAGAAGGTGGGGTGCAGTTTTTAAACTGCATCATCTGGAATGGTTTGACAGAGAAGGGACATCTGAGTGTGAGAGTACCTAGGGAAGAGTGTTCCAAACAGAAGACCAGTGCAAAGGTACCGAGGCATGAGCAGGTCTGTCAGACTCCAGCAACAGCAGATAGGCAAGTGTGGCCACAGCAGAATGAGGGGCAGGGGAAGAGAGAAAAAATGTCAGAGAGATAAGGGGTGTGGGGGAAAGAAAGATTAGGAGAGCAGAGAGTTTAAGGTTCTACAGGACTTCAGCTTTCATTCTGAAAGGCTGAAGAGCCACTGGAAGGTTCTGAGCTAAAAATCACTCTGGCTGATGTCTGAAGAACTGACCGTTGAAGGACAAGGGTGGGAGCTGGGAGACTAGTGAGGAGACCACAGTGATCATCTAGGTTAGAGATGATGGTGATAGACGTAGACATATGAGAAATGATAAGACTTGGGATCTATTTTGAAGGCAGAATCAATAGAATTTGCTGAAAACTTGGATGTGTGAGAGCTTGGAATTGAAAGGAGAGGAGAAATAGAAGATTGCAAGATTTTTGCCTGAGTAATGGGGTGGAAGCAAAGAGTTAACGTATTGGGCTGCTAACCAAAAGGTTGGCGATTTAAGTCAACCCAAAGGTGCAATGCAAGAAAAGCCAGCTATCTACTTTTGAAAACTCAGCCATGGGAAACCCTATGGAGCACATCTGCTCTGACACACGAGAGATCTCCATGACACATACAGGATTCAACTAGACAGTGACATTTTTCTTTTTTTTAATCGGAAAGGTGACTTTTTTTACTTTTAATTAGAAAGGTAAAGATAGGGAGGTATTAAAAAATATATCAGTTCACCATGGAAGAATAGAATATTGGTTTGAGACATTATATTTTTCCAGATACTTGTTAGACATCCAAATGGAGATGTTTAGTGGAAACTTGAGGGTATAGATTGGGAGTACAGAGTAGATATCCAGGATGGAGATCTGCATTTGAGAATCAACAAGATATATATGGTATTTCAAAGTCAACAGAGTGGCTGAGAATAATTTTAAACGGAAAAGAAAGTCCTAGGATTGAACATTAAAGTATGTTAACAGTGTCATATAACCAGTTGTCTGAAATCTCACAAACACTTCAAAAAGATATAATGTTGAACCAGAAAAACCATTTGCTCCATTAAGAATAGGAAGGTTGCTGTTGTTGTTGCTGTTATGTGCTATCAAGTCAGACCCTACTCATAGTGACCCCTCCTTGGGTTTCCGAGGCAGTATCACTACGGAAGTAGATTGCCCCATCTTCCTTCCGAGGAGTGGCTAGTAGGTTTGAACCGCCAGCCTTCTGGTTAGCAGTAAAGTGCCTTAGGCACTATGCCACCAGAGCTCCCAGGAAGGCTTCTAGTCCTACATAAAGAGGTGAGAAAGTCAGTCACTCATGTAACAGTTTGCATTGTGAACTTCAGCTCACAGTTCTGTGGAAAGTGAAAGATGTGGTCTCCTATTGCATTAACTTTCTTGAATAATCTGTCCACTGTCGAGAGGCCTATTAGCCACATTGACAATCTCCAAAAGAACTGTGAAAGCTCTGATTATTTAAATACTTTTGTGGATGGTCTTAAATTTTTAAATTTTCTAAGTAAAATTAGTTTTGAAGTTTTTTCCAAATCTTGATGTTTAAAAACTTCTAAAGGAGTAAAATCTTTCTAAACTCACATTTTTTTTTTTTTTTTTGTCAAGCTTAAAAGTAGTTTTCATTTAAACTGTTAAAAAGTCAGGATATATTCCCTAGGGAAGAAAACAAACTTCACTCCAGAAATATTTATCTTAGGGCTCATGAAAGATATCAGTCTACAGGGCATTTCCCAGGAGGAAAAAAATAGCTACTAGCAAGCAACTTTGTTTCAATTGTTAAATAGCTTGCTCTTTTCTATTATATATATAAATAATTATGATGTGTAAGGAATGATTCTTGGATTCATTTTGACAAAACAAAAAAAGTTAGAAATTACATTATAGAATTATGTTGTTTGTTGTTGTTGTTATTATTTGCCATCAAGTCGGCCCCAACTCATAGTGACCCCTCCTTGGGTTTCCGAGGCAGTATCACTACGGAAGTAGGAATGCCCAACCTTCCTTCCGAGGAGTGGCTGGTGGGTTTGAACCGCCAGCCTTCTGGTTAGCAGTCAAGTGCCTTAGGCACTATGCTACCTATGGTTCTGCAATGGTATATACCACACTGTAACAGAGCAAATGCTATTTGAATAATTTCCAAACAAATGATAAATTACCTTTCTAAATGTGATGTAAGGAGCCCTGGTAGCACAGTGATTAAAGTACTCGGCTGCTAACTGAAAGGTCAGCAGTTTGAACTCATCAGCTGCTCTGCAGGAAAAGATGTAGCATTTTGCTTCCATAAAGATTTACAGCCTTGGAAAACTTATTGTCTTATGGGGCAGTTCTACTCTGTCCTATAGAGTGGTTATGAATTGGAATTGAGTCCACAGCAATGGGTATGTATGATGTTATATGCTAAATTCACTACCCAGATAATGAATTGCTATTTTTACTAAATAAACCCTTTAAATATCTTGTCTCAATGCTGCTTGCTACTCTCTTATTTCTATTTTTCCCAAACAGATTTGTGTTTAATAATTCTTGGTATTCCAAGCACATAAGTAGTTTATTACAAGTAAACAGAATTTGACTTTAAGTCAACAGAGCTGGTTGTCACAACTCTGACCTCTGGAACAAAGACACTACTGCCTTCTCTTCATAAATCCAGCAAGGATTATCTCCAACACATGCTTGCCAAAGAATGTTGGGAGGAAAGAGGGTTTTGTTGTCTTCTGCTCCTTTAAGGCCTAATTTTTTTTTCCAGAAAATAACTTGGGAACTTAGGAAGATATGCTAACTCCATGGCTGGAATACTGACATGATACTTTCGTACAGCACTGAGGCTGAAAGCTGATTAAAAATTATTCACAGAAGGCATTAACTTTGTGGGGATCTGTGTTGCCTCTGAAATGTTACTTCACCATTCTCAGGTTAGGAACCCCATGATGCACTCATACATCATCCACATTGCACTGTCAGCACAAAATCACAGAATTCTAAGCGATTGGCTTGAGAGTTATTTACCTCCTCTTGGTCTAATTTATAATCAGAGAGTATTGCAGGCATCTTTTCCAATGAAAACACTATGATTTCCTGTCACCTCGCCCATTCCAGATTTCAACCAAACCACTGAACTATAAACTTAGCAGGAGTACTTAAACTCACACTCACAGTTTAGTCTGAGACAAATATTTTCTCCTTATATTTTCAAGAACAGTAGTTTAACTGAAAAAGGAGAGTGATCTGAGAACAGAGCTGTGCCAGCAAAAACTGGGCCCCTGCTGCTCTTGCTCTTACTTCCCAGGAGTTTCACTTTCCTATTCTCTGCTCTCCTGACAGCTCTTTGAGCAAACTGCTAAATTCAGATGATAGAAAGAAACCACACACACTCAGGTGGCTAAGCAAATAAAGTGCATTCTTCTGCCTCAGGGTCACACTTACCAGTTTCCAAAGGAGTAATGGTAGTGGGCTCCGATGTGGCTGTAGAACTGGCAGGAGAAGGAAAAATCCCCCTAGTTTGAATCCAAGAGAAAATTAGGAGGCAGGGCTAAGACAGGACCCTGGGGGCCAGTTCAAAAATACTGTGTGT